TCCAGGACGAGGGTGAAGAAATCCTGCTGCCGGGTGGGGTATCTGTGGCGTGGGTCACATTGCATTGCATGATGTCCAGAATTCATCAGAATTCCATTTGATACTTCAACCAATAGCCTCCCAAGGCCTAGAAAAGAACAGGCCTCACTAAGAGTTCCTGACATCTACAATCATCTATAGTATTATTGCTCATATAACATGTCCAATGTACCATTCCCTTAGTCAAACGGTCTTGCATCGACCCAACACCGACCGATGTCCGATCCGCACCTCGCTGCAACTTCACGTTCGTCTGCAGCAGCTCGGTGCGGAGGTTCTCCGCCTCCTGAAACCAGGTGGGGAGAATCCGCGGTGCTTCTCCGCGGTGCTTCTCCGCGGTGCTTCTCATCGATCCGATCGGACCTCATACCCAAACATCACCTGTCATGGGGGCTGTAACTATATGTGATACGATGTGTCTATTTTGAGTGGTTTGCATGGGTGTAGGCATAGATTCCATGGAGTGCTTGGGTTAGAAACCCCCTCCACTTTGAATGGTACCAAAGTGGGATGGGGAACCCACAGAAGGTTCTTCCAGCCTCTTTGTATATTTCTTGCAGTTTGTTGCTTTTGTCTGGTAGTACGGATGCTTTGGGCGCGTTTAAGAATATATGATTCTATGTTGGTGCCAAGAAGTAGGCTTCTATCCCGGGAACCCCGGTGCCCCTTGTTCTGAAGGGGTAGGAGAGGATCGGAAAGGACCCTGTCCACCCCAGTCATTTCCTGGATCCACACGCTGTGGGACTCCAATCCTCAGGGTCGACCGTTGATCTGATTCGTTCTGATTGCAGGCCCAAGTGGGCAAAGCCTTGAGAGCAACGGAAAATCACTGGCCTCCATCCTTCACTTCAGTCATACATGTAGTTAACTACTATAGAACGAAATGGCCAGAGTTTGAGAGTTTCTCACCCCGAAGTTCTGCCCTACTCAAGGACTTTCGGCTACAGCAAACCATGGAAACTGTGCATAAGGCTTACCTAGAATCCTTCTGGCAAAGAACTTGGTAGTCACGTTCCAATGCTTCCGACAAACCCTCCATGCTTGGCCCAAAAAATGAGCAGCAACTTCACACCCGCCCCGGTCGCCTGAAGCACCGGTTGGTCACTATCGCTCTCACACACGCCATCGGGAGCAAGATTGGCGAGGCCTGAAGCAGCTGGCTGGTGTGAAGGACTGGTCTTCATGGATGCTTCTACCTACCAACTGCAGCAACTGCAGCATCCCGGGATTCTTCATGATTCTTCCAGCCAAGGTTTTGCTTCAAATTGAATCTGCCACCATGATCGGCCCATGCTGGAATTGGGTCAGGGAAACTGGAAAGCCACTGAGGTTCCAACAAGGAGCTGCGGCAAAGGCCACAAGGAATATAGAAAAAACGCAGTGCGGTCGACATTGCGCCTGAGTTGGCTCTGTCGAAAGGTGTCTATTGTTGGGCACCGGTATGTTAGATCTGAATCGAAAATTATCTGTATTCAGGAGTTTGTGCGCGACACAATCTTTCCTGAGACTTACTGTACCCACACAAGCTTCACATGCGTGTGCGCATGTGCAGCTCAAACATGCAATACATCAATTCCGTGACATGGGGCTTGGAGATTTGCTTTCGACCGGTGAGTTTAGCTTTGTCTCGTCGAGGCGGTATATCTTCAAATAAAATTTGGAAAGGGTGGGTGGTGAGTCTACACGCTTGGCAGCCACTGCACTGGACAGGTCTATGAGGCAACAAGGATTGTTGGTAGGAAAAACAATAGGCTTCACGATTCAAATTGTGATACATTATATGAATGTGCCTCTATCCAAAATCAAGTACAATCCTCGAGGACACCCAAACAAAGACTTCCTTGCATACATGCGGCGATCCTACAGCCTGCCTTGAAGACTGTTTCTCAACACGTCAACTGCTTGACTTGAGATCAAACATTGAAGCGTGATTCCACTCTGAAAACAGATCGTGAATTCATAGCGCAGCATAGCTTGTTGCAACCTACGAAGCCAATTTGTAATAGGGATCACCATCGATTCGCCAGCCAGCCACACATCCTGCTCCAAGTGGCTGGAAGGGATTGTCCAGCAGTGTCAGTCTCCGCCGAGAAGAAACGGAAGAAGCGGCAGAATCGGTGACAACAGTGGACAAATGGAAGACACAAACCCAACTATAGGGGATAGCGGATAGCGGTGACCGATGTTGAAGGTGCAACATGTTAAAACGACGAAATACCGCATACTGTACTTATGCATACCGTGACTCAAAAAAAACGACTTACCCATACTGTACTGTTCAAACACGCATCAGCAAGAACGAGACTTTGCACTTGTGAGCGCCATCGGACGGGGTGCTGGACTGGGTGCCGGCTGGTGCCGGAAAGGTCCAGAAGGCGTGATGGATTCTCGGGCTTTTCAGCATGTCACACTCAAAATATTTTATCTGTCACACTCAAACAATCTCAAACACTTCCACTTCTACGCCTCAAGATTGCCTATATGGGCCCTGGATGGGTCATGATGGGACTGATGAGCAGTGACTGAAGATCGCTGGTCAACTTCATTGGAGAATTAACAATGCTCGATTTCAATAAAGGAGTAAGTAAACACTAAACAAATACCAGGACACTCCAAGCAGGTGGTTTGTGGACACCAAGGGCACCCCGTTCGTCCCATTTCGATCTTTTCACCGCACATGCGAGATTGATCCAAACAGGTCCAAACCATTCCGGTGGCGCGTCTTGGCCCAGGAACGGTACATGCGGCACGTCTTGGCCACATGCAGTACGTGCGTTAACGTCTGGGTCAGTGGAATCCAAGGTCGACCACTAGGACTATATCTGAAGTTTCACAAGTCTATACAAGTCTCATATCTATGAACCATTATTCAAAACAGTTGAAGGATACCTCAAAACACCACAAAATATAGTTCGTACAGTTTCAAGACAACGCTTCCAAACTCACCCGAAAAAAGCACCTCAACTGGTTTGGACTGTCGGAGCCCTGGACCCGGTGTCTTAACGGACTATGCACAAACACGAACACAGCAGGGTGTTCGCTTCTGGGTTCGCCCCCCCCCCGAAGGAGCACTTCTCGTCCTCAGCGCCGGAAGAAGACTGGCTCCACCTGGGTCCCATGGGGACCGTCATGCACGGAAGAGAGTCGTTGACACGACGCCAGCCGAGGAAGCTCAAGGCCGCATTGCGGGGTGGTTCTTGACCTTCTGGGATGGTCTGCTGCCAAGTGGTCACATGGTCACACGTTTTGAAAGCATCCGCTCGGCAACCAAACCGGACGAATGGCCTACCCCAAACACTCCATGTATGCGATATTTGCCTTCAGTGCTGGTTAATCCAGTCCGAGATCATGGAGTGTGTGCATGGGGGGGGTAGAGGACGCTAATAGGAGCAAAGGGCATCGCTACTAGGAGCAAGGACGCTAGGGGCTCCTGGCCATACTACTAGGAACAAGAACGCTACTAGGAACAAATGCGGACAAAGTTCAGAGGGCACCGGGTCACCGCACGTCGCTACCGCTGTCGTCCTCCTCGGAGTTCCGCCGTGGCGCCTCCCCAGGGTGGTGGACTCGGTCTTTTTAGACCCCATGTGGTTGGTGCATCGAAACAAGGTACTGCTTTAGAGGAGATTCACTTTGGTCTATCCAATTCTGGGTTCATGGCCATTTGTATGTCAAGAATTCCCAATGAGCTTCGTGGCCTCTGCTGTTCTATATTTTGGCGTATCCACAGGCTTGACTTGACCACTTGATTCAATTGGCAGTCTCAAGCAGTGCTTGGACTTTTAAAGAAAGCTGCCAATTGCCAATGACGTGACTTGACTGATCTGCCGTGATGTTTGTTTCGGGTGTGAGTCTTTACTACTTCTACTGCTGCTTCCCAATTTCCATTGTTGTCGAGAAGCAACTTCTCTGATACCAGGAACTGAACTACCATACCTATTGATCGGCACAGCATCGTGCAGTGTACGACGCCAACGAGTTGGCCCTGAGCTGCCCCCCAGCCCTGCCCCCACTTCGCACCTGCATGCTGGGCAACGAGCTTGGCATCACAGAGCCCTAGGCACAGAACACGGTCAATGACCAACTGCAGCAGCCGTGACACCGCTACATGTGCATGTTCTTCACTGAGAATCATGCAGAATCCGGCAGAATATTGTATTTCGAAGATTATCAAAGTTATAATTACAAATATAATAAGTACTATAACTAGTTAATATATATATATATATAATATTATCATATGTTGATTAGATGATCCCAAAAGCTCAGAATCCTGGAAATACCTCTGATTTGTCAATGGCTGCCACTTGAGAGGCCGGGGTGCCCGCACCATCTCTCTCGAAACACCCGTGAACAACTTGAGTGTTAAGAAGGTTAAAGTCTAGGGACAACAACATGTTGCAGCTAAACATGATTTATCAACTCTGGTGATGTTTGTGCACTTTGAACTGTATACCGTTCAAGAACTTGCAACAACCTGCGCAGCATGTCTGGAGACCAGCGCAAGCCACTTCAAAACAGAACACTCACACAAGCACATAATATGTTAATCCCGCAACACAAAAATCAACAAAACATGTATCAATGTTCTAAGCCTGACCTTTGTCTGTGAGCTTTCATCTTTGAAACGCCCCGGGCTGGAGCATCAGAATTGAAATGCATCTGCCTAGTGGAGAAACATCTGCCTAAGGCAAGCGATTGTCTATCGTGGAGCAAAACACGCCTTGATACACAGGTCACGGTGAGGATTTTGTCTTGGTTTTATTAGCATGAACCAGCACTTGGAATGTCTAGAATGCAACTTCAAACTGCTCCAGGACGACAACTAATTAAATGTTCTCCAAATCCTTACAACTATAGAAACATTTCTCTTCAAGAAACAATCAGTTTCCTCAATGCTCTGCATGTTGTTCCAGGCAAGGAAATTTAAATGAACAAGGATGATGGATGCCCTTGCAACCTCATTCTGTGTCCATAGTGTAGCCTCGTTGGGCCACCGACTTTGCTTCTTCGCGGCAAGTCAAGAACATGCCGACACATAAGTGAAACGCAATCATCAAAAATGAGCAAGTCATTCCGAGCCATGCATACCTTCCGCCAGCAATTTGTTAATGGTTCTCGCGGCGAATCGGAGGCAAACCAAACAAATCAAGGCGAGTCTACAGTCGATAGGGGATCGGGATCTGGTCTTTCCACCTTCAAACTTTATATATATATATATAACTATATATATAAAATACACAGGAAGAGTTATTGTGTAAATACAGTTTGATGTGGATACTTGTCATATCTTATCATCATTTAGTAATTAATGGACAATGCACAGAAGAGGCAACCAAATTTGCCGAGGCACCAGGCGCCCCCAAAGTAGTACAAGTCAAGGCAGGCCACGAGGAGCTCAGGGATGTCTTCAACCACCCGGAGTCCTGTGTTGAGAGGTCCCCGAAACTCATGCAGCAGCTCCACGTCATCCTCTTTCCTGAGGTGGGTACAGCTGAAGGAATGGAACGGTGTAGAAAGCGTTTTTGAATGGGTGTCCGTTATACAATGCAATGCTTTGTCTGCAACAAAATCAAAAGGGAAAATAACCTAGCAACAGCAACGCCAATAAGCATCACCACTTGGCAAGCTAGGACGATTGCAGCAAAATAACCATTTCTGAGAGACACCCAGAATCAAATTTATCGCCATCAGAGCGTTGAAGAAAGGGATTTCCAAGGCGGCCGCTTTGCCCATGACAGCCTGCCGGGAAGAACGCACTCAAGAGTAGCTCATGTCTTTTGATTTTGGTTGCAGCTTTGATGATCTGATTTGCTTTTCGCAGCTCAAATCCCCTCGCGGATTAATGCTTGTAGGCTCGCATCTGTCTGCTTGTTGTGTTTATTTCATTCGCTAGACTCCTAAGACTTTCCCATTTCAGTCCTCCATCCTCCTCCTCTTCTTCAGCTCTGGCTCGGTCTCCTCAGCTCTTTCCACCTGCCACGACCCGGGTGGCCAAAAGAGAAAAAAGAAAAGCCTTTCGATGAAACCCAGCCTGATTGAAATCTGCCTTCTCTGGCAAGAATGTGACATCAAGTGCCAGAACCCAAGCGCACAAAAGCAGCAACGGGCAAAGGAGGGCCATGGCCAGCACAGAGCTGGTTCCGCCCTCGATTCCAACGATGTAGGTGATGAGAATGAGGAGGAGCAGCGACGTCATGAAGCCACAAATGCGCCTCTGCCAAAGCTGCTGCCTACTTTGTTCCAGCCGCTTGACCAGCGTCCTCGCATAGAACACTGCGGTCCACACAATGGTCAGGCCCAGCGACATGAGTGCGACGAACCAAAGCCCGAAAGCCACACTTGAGCACCCGATGTCACTGCAAGCCATCATCTGCATACTGTAGATGTCATACCGCCCGCAGTTATCCAGCTCGCGGGAGACGTGGCAGCCCGGCATCGGGACCTAGTGATTGCGACAAATGAAGAAACTGGTGTGAGGGAGTAGCTTGGTGTTGCAACAGGTCCAGGATTTTCGTTTCATGACTCCGTCGCAGGATTAGTCTTGAGTCTTGATAGATCTTAATTTAACACTTCCCCGCCCTTCAAATCTGCAGCATATTTGGGTTATCCCCTCTTTCATGACTTCACCAACCTGGATGTCTGCTTCGCAAAACGCCTCCGTGAGTAGGCCCTGATGGCACGTAGGCAGCGCCAGTATTTCACTTTCATTTGGGCATTCCCTGCTCCGCACCGGCATTAGGAGCCCAGAGCCACAGGCAGCGGTGAATCCCATCAGCGTCGATCGCTGGTATGCCCCGAGGACATACAACAGCCTGAAATGTGTCAAACGAATACATAGTTGAAAGAACAGTGAAGTTGTCAAGTCACTTCTGCTGCCCATTGAACGGAAAAAAGGAAATTTAAGTTTGCAACATTATTGTGAATTCAGTTGAAAACATACTAGTTCAACCAAGCCCTGAAACGACGACACCAGATTCCCGCTCTCCAATACCATGTTCAATGTCAGCACATGGCAGGAACGTCGAATCCTTCGGGACATCGGCATGGTCTCCTCGGGTGCCGGAGGGTCTGTTTGCTCGGTATCTGCTTCTTTCTGTTCGTGATCTTGTGCTCCGGGTATCTGATGTGTCTGGTGCTCCGGGTCCGGGATGGCTTTGCCCAACATCCGAGCCTCTTGGGCCACTTGGGCTGGTGCTTCACCTGCACGAGCCCAAAGGCGGGCCATGACTAAAGACACGGCTAAGGCCGCAAGGTAAAAGGCCAAAGCGCCCAGGCCCCAAGCGCTCGCATCTGCGAATGCAAACTGACTGGATGCAAGGGCAGAGGGGGGGCTCTGTGCGGGTGGTGGTGCTTGTCATGGTCCTGCTGGTGCTAGTGCTGCTGGTGCTGGTCCAGCTGGTGCTAGTGCTGCTGATGCTGGTCCTGCTGGTGCTAGTGCTGGTGGTCATGCTCCTGGTGGTGCTGGTCCTGCTGGTGCTGGTCCTGCTGGTGCTAGTGCTGGTGCTCATCGTCATGGTCCTGGTGGTCGTTGTTGCGATTGTTACAGTGTCTACATAGCCCGGATATCCGGTGGCACTGTTGCTTGCCATGACCAGGTACTGGGCGCCGTCTATGATGAAGGATTCCCAGCCACTCGCTCCATCGGTAGCGATGCTCTCAAACTCTACAAAGGAAGTGCCATCCCAGCGGTAAACTTTTGAATCGACGCTGAAAGAAGCACCATTGTAGCGATTGGCCACGACCAAATACAGCGTGTCATGGATGATGAAAGATTCCCAGGCCCTTGCTTGACTTGTAGCGATACTCTGGAACTCTGTAAAAGAAGTGCCATCCCAGCGGTATATTTTGGAATCGACGTTGTAAGAAGCACCACCATGGTCGTAGGAATTGGCCACAACCAGGTACTGGGTCCCGTCGATGATGAAAGATTCCCAGGTAGCGGCTCCATCTGTGGCGATACTCTGGAACTCCACGAAGGAAGTGCCATCCCAGCGGTAGACCTTTGAATCGGCACCATTGTTGTAATTGGCCACGACCAGGTACTGGGTCCCGTCGATGATAAAGGATTCCCAGCTCCATGCTTTCTGTGTAGCTATACTCTGGAACTCCACGAAGGAAGCGCCATTCCAGCGATAAACCTTCGAATCGGCACCTTGGTAGTTGGCCACGACCAGGTACTGGGTTCCATCGATGATGAAGGATTCCCAGCTATTTGCCCCATCGGTAGCGATACTCTGGAAGTCTGCAAAGAAAGTGCCATTCCAGCGGTAAACCTTTGAGTTGGTGTTGTAGGAAGCACCATCGTAGTAGTTGGCCACGACCAGGTACTGGGTCCCGTCTATAATAAAAGATTCCCAGCCCAATGCTCCAGATGTAGCGATACTCTGGAACTCCACGAAGGAAGTGCCATCCCAGCGATAGATCTTTGAATCTACATTAAAATTTGTACCGCTCTTTTCATTGGCCTCGACCAAGTACTGCGTGCCGTCTATCCTCGAACATAAAAACATGCTGCCATGTGTCTTTTTTTGTTTTGGGCGTGTGCAAATGCAGCCAACCATCACCCGCTGGTTGAAGATTGTCCCAGAATAGTCATCAGTATCGGGTAATTAATTCGACTATATACATGGCACATAGCATCATATCAGGGGCAAATACCTTGAACACACATGGATACAAATGGGACAGCTTCGCAAAATAGCCGATGATGTGGGTCCTTTTCCACAAACAACACAAAACTTTGACCCCAAAACGATCCAAAAGGAGCAAAGCATCTCAAAGGTATGAAAGAACTGGCAACGGCCATCAGTCGTAATGCTTTGCACTACGTCAATGTGGCTAGCGGCCTTGCCGACAAAGGGCAGGCAAGCCAGCACAACCAGCGCGACTAGCTGCATCATCGGAAGATGTGCGAACGGGGCAAGAATCATTGCCGCCATGTTGTTATAGTTATAGGGTATAAGTCTTATAAAAAGAGAAAATAACAATGCTTGAAGAGAAACTGTGATAGACTTGCAATTGTTCCTATCCACATGCAAAGACTTGGCTGGAGACTGCCTGGGCGAGCGATCTCACTTCAAAAGAAGGCCACCCACCGAATCAAAGTGGGGTGTGGAAGTTCCAGACGCCTGGATGTCTAGTGTTGACGCAAGAACAAGACTTGACACCGCTTTGAACCTCCATTTACCTCAAAAAAACAGCATGAAAACTGCCGTTTTCTGTGGTTCCTTTCACAGTCACGCCTTGAACGACCCCTTAGGTAATTCTTTCTTGGCGGCCGGGCGGGCGCGGTGTTGCCACCCCCACGCATCTAGTGGCACGTGGCGGCTGGCTGGTCATCTAGGACACTCCCACAAACATCCAAAGGATCTCAGATCTCCTCCTTTGTGGCCGTGAGAGCCACTCGAATCTCGACATTTATATATATATAAGAATTAAATTGAATAAAACATGCCATAACTGGTTGTTTGAAGGTGAGTGGCACTGATCGTCATTGGAACATCAAATTCAGTCAGCATCTCTTTCAAGTTGGTTGCTTGGCAATTCCAAGAATCATCAGAATACACATTCTGCATGCAGAGGGAATGTGCACAGCCCAAAGAGTCCAAGCCAACAAACACGTGTATTCCATTTGTCGAGGGGGCACCTCATCTTGATTAACATCCAGAAAGCAGAACCACCGAACCATCCAACAACACCAGTAGACCAAGCCGAAGAAGCATTGGCTGGGATGGCTAGGGAAATTGTTTGCTCTTTCAATTACCAATAGCTAAACAACAAAAACATCAACGTTTCCTCAAATTCTCAAACTGGCAAAGGGGAACAGCAAACATTTGGTGGGAAGTTGTGGCTTTCCAACACAAATCACTACTAGCCTGAACAAGAACTCATATGCACAAAAAAAACACATGAGCAATGGTTCAAACTGTTGCCCTTAATTATCAATATCTCCCCACTCCTGATGCTGAGCCATGCCCTGTCCCCAGCCTGCCGACGCTGAGCCAGCCAATCCTCGGATAAAAGAACAAATGCACATGCAAAGGTGGGAAGGACTTCCTTGTTTGACAAAGAGGTGGAACTATCAAAAAACGCCGGTCCCCATAGCTGATAATGTTCTCATTCCTTCTGGTTGTTCCCCGTTTCAGTTCACTGCAGGTGACAATTCATAGATTCATAGGGTATGCGAGGAACTGAAAGCATTGGCCATAAAGCGACCAAGCCTACTTCAGCTAACGTCTATAATTGAAGGATTTGCCAGCCCAGCACACACATCTCTTTTGACAGCCCAGCAATGGTAATCATAGGGAACATTTCAGAACAGGGACGGCGACCCAATAGTACCCTCAAAAACAAAAACTTCTTCAGTTTGTGACCCAAATCAACATTTGGAGGCGATCTAAAATGATCTGAAGCTGGGATCTGAGTCACTTGGAAGAACCAGGCAAGTGACAACTTGGAACATTGGACGAACCATTCAGAACCCGAAGACACTAAGCTCTCTGCCAGCTCGTCGTCGCTTTCCTGGGCCATCCGGATCAACTTTCCACCTCCATTCGCAAAACTTAATGGAACGTCCTAGTACTAGTAAGTGTGCTTTCTCTGGGGCAGCTTGTTCCGCCAGCTGTGTCTGCAGGTAAGTATAAGTGCTGTCCCTGATGCATTTAGTATACACTTTGTGATGGTCTTTTCGTATTGCATGTGTTGAATGTTCGATGTTCACCTGCATCCAAGAAACAATTACTGTAAACCGTGTAAACCTATCGGAACCTGTGTAAACCTATCGGAACCTGTCACCCCAAGTGCCCCACCCACGAATCCATGAACTGACAGGAAGCGCACAAAACTTGCCAAAGAACTTCTGTGCAAAAGAAAAGATTGTAACATATAGCAAAACCATACAATCACTCATACAATCGTACACTCGCAGCCCTCGCAGGCGCCTGGTCGCTCTCCTCCTTGGCCGCAGCCAAGGCCCATGCCTCATGGGTTCGGATGAACAGCAACCACCCAATGAACTTGAATGCCTCAAACGGGAGGTCAGCCGTCTTTTTACCTACTATGACAGTTACGCAGGTGTCTACTTGATTGATTACAGTTGGCCAAGAGCCCTCTAAGGGTCTTGCTGGGACTTGGCCAAGCCAACGCCTCCAGCCCTTTACGCCAAACTCTTCGCTCAGTTCGTTTGCCAAATGGTACCTGTCTTCGGCTTGGTCAACAACCTGTCTTCGCGATCTGCACCGTCTGAGTCCCGAGTGTCTAATCCCTTGGTCAGATTAAACAAGGTCAGTCCCCAATCTAAACCGAGTCCTATGCCGTCATCACCATGGCACAAGCTCCCAGGCATTGCATTCCCGCCGCTCAATCGCGGGACACGGTGTCATCAAGTTTCATCCTGGTGGTGCCTACAGCCCTACCGACATCTACCACATTGGAACATCTTGGACCCTCAAAAAACAGAAGAGTCGTCTCCAGCTGAAACACCGACACCTCATCTCAATCATCCGGAGTGCTGCAGAGAGGTGGAGAGGTGGAACAGAAGTTGCTGCCGAGGAGCTCTCAGGTTCGAGCCGCTGCTGGGGCCCAGGTTCACACGCGCCTGAGAGGATGCAGCTCAGCGATTTAGGCTGTCTTTCGACGATTCTGGGGATCCAGTCCAAAATTGATGTTCAGGGCGCAAATCCCAGAAAATTGGGGAACAAACAAGCCACTTACTTGTAGCAAAGTTTGCAGAGGTCTGTCGCAGCTAGGATCAGCTAAGTAGGCGTTTACGATGTTTTAGTGTGTTTTAGTAGGTTCTTGTCAGCATGCGTGGATTCGCCCCATATTATCTTCGTCCATGCCAAATCCAATTCATGCCACCCTTGGAACAGGGGCCTCATCATCCGGAAAGTGCACGTACTCCAACATCCAAAAACCTCTTCAAAACATCCAGGAGATCCAAAAACAACGCATCCTGGATGAGTGCGTCTGGCGTTTTGCCCCCATGGATCCGACCCGACCGGTCGGCCACACGGGACCAGTGCCTTTGGGTCCGACCCGACCGGTCCAAATTCCAGGACCGACTTCGTCGGGTGAATCGTCTGTGGCTCCGAGGCACGAATGGATTTTCGGGGACCAAGCAACATGGAAGGCCCGCCTAGCATCTTCTAGCTTGGTATGTATATAAAGCCAATCTGGAGACATCTTTTTGGTGATCCCCAAATCGAACTGAATTGCCTGAGAGAATATGCATTGGACATTGCTCCACACTCCAATTTGCACACTTTGGGAACATTGGGAATTCACACACATCCTCCAACATGTTCGACCACGGACCAGTCCCAACTTAATGTGCTGAAATTTTAGTTATTCACCCAGGCCATGGCCATCCAACAGATGGGAAAAAATAGGAGACATTCTTCTGTCATGTCCCTTTTCCATGATTTCCTGTCAACACAACGTTGTTTTTCAAGTAGCAGGTCGGTGCTCACCATGGTCATGGCCGTGGTCGCCGAACCACAACCCTTCCCCGGAACTCCATTCCTGCTGGGAAGTTCCAACTGGTTGAAACTTGGCCATACTGAAGATCTCCTCTTCCTGGAAAGCTGGGGTGCGAAAAAGGCGCGGACCGTTCTGCAAAACCAGTTTTGTTAAGCTCTGCTTCAAAGCAAAGTCATATCAGCCAATCTCAACATTCTTGAAACCAAAGGTTTGAGATCTTACAAGTTGGTAAAAACTACTTAAAACTAGTTCTCTTTAGATCTTGCTGACTTGTCAGATCATCACAACCTACGGATTTACAGACCTTCAGGCCTTAAAGAAGTGCGTAGAAGTATGTTTCAAGGGCAGGTTACGGTGTAGCCCTCCAGAAGCAACATATCTGCAGAGATCTGCAGCAGGAATCACCCCTCTCTCCATTGATCTGATTCAACTCAAACACTCGTTCTTGGGGGTGCCCACTGTTGATTGGCACAGAACCCAATACCAGTGCTACCTATAATTGTATATTCATGTGTGCCAGTTGTTGTCTTCCTCACTGCCATCTTCTGCTGACATCTTTCGGCACGATAAGACTGAACAATATACGTATCTTGTCTTTCCGTTCATTCTTGAAGACCGAGGGCCATGAGAGGGCTGCGATGGCCTTTTTCGGCTCACTTCGGCCACCTCACCGCCGCTCGGACCTCATCGGACTCCTCCGGCTCGAAGGCACCGCGTGCACCTGAAGTACAGGCTGCTCGGTGGAGGGATGTCGAGAACTCGAGTGGTGGAGGTGCGGCAAAGCGCAAGAACGGAGAGGAAACTCAGCTTCCACACGTCTTCATAAATAAATTGTCACCAGAATGGCTTTACACAAGCATGTGGTGGTTATTCATTTTGTTAACAACCAACATTACTGCATTTGCACGTGCTACTACTTTTGGTACTACTGCTGCTGCTGCTGCTGCTGCCACCCTCCTTCGCAAGGCCGATGCTCGAGGCTCTGTCTCTCATAGGTCAAAGCGATGGTAAAGCGGCCCGGAGAATATTGGAGCCACATGTTCTCATTCTTCTCCAGGAGTCCGGCAAAGAAGGTTGCTAACATGTTAGAAGCATGAAAAGGGACTGACACCTTCGGATGGTTCCATCCCCACCACGAACAAGCACATGCCACCGGCATGTATGTATGCCAATGTATGGTGATTCTACATGTGTTGGATGTTCTCTCAGTCGAATTTGTTCGACTGCTCTGAATACTTGCAGGCTTCGAATGGTTTCGTCTGCACCCATGTAGAATACACGGCTGCACCCATGTAAAATCGCCGTTTCGCCCTCTTTTCATGTCGTGTCCATCATTCTTTCCCGGACGACACTTCGCTCGACTGGAGCTCACCCAATTTCTGCAGGGACCTTAGGGGGGGTGGGACGTGTGGGAGGAGTCCACTAAGCCAGGCCGAGGGTGGTTGATTTCCACAGTACC